TAGTGCTGCTAGACTCCCGCCAATCATCAAGGCCGATGAAAAAGGCTAGGCCCGTCTGCTTAGACCTACTGCCTGAAGGAGTTGTTTTTTTCGGTGTTGCTGCTTCCTCCCACTGATGTTCAAGATTCGGTCGCCAGAGATGCTATTGTTTGTCCCCAGCCTTGCATGTAAAGCACGCACAAGGGCTATGTTGCGAAAGAGAGTGCATGCTGAAGCAGCATGATGTTCAAACCCCAACAGAAGGCATCTTCTCAAAGCCTCACCATCTTGCCCCAGGGTTTAGGGTTTAGGGTTTGGGGTTTAGGGTTTAGGGTTTAGGGTTTAGGGTTTAGAGAACTTAGAGCCTAAACCCACCCTATTCCAGCCTCCTAGGTTACTGGGCAACCCAGGATATCGAAAGCGCGAAAACACCCCCCCCAAACCCTAAACCCTAAACCCCGAACCCCAACCCTCCCCCCCCCGCCGGGAAAAAAGAACAAAAACAAACTGGAGGCCTTGAGGGCATCCTCAACATTATCGGGGAGGTTTGGAAGACGACCTGCATCGGAATCGCTGGGGTCCGAGTTAGAGTTGCAGTGCATGAGCTCGGTGGCTTAGGGTTCAGGGCTTAGGGCTATGCATGCGTGTCGTTGTGGGCGGATTCCTCTTCCATACAATAGAGGTGCTGGCAGAACACAACATACCGTACATCAACTTCCGGATTTCTGGTGCAAGGCTTCAGGTTAACTTTGTCATAGTTGGGTAACATTTTTACCTTTTTAAGGGTACTTAAATCCAATAAGGAATAAAAATTTTAATTTTTAATGTTATCGCAACAATGAACTAGTTAAGATGTAGGGCCTGGTTATGGAGAAGTCGTGAACCCTCAAGCTTCGCTTCAGCAGCGCACCAAGACTAGACGCGCAGAGAAAGCGCCCTAAACCCTAAACCCTAAACCCTAAACCCTAAACCCTAAACCCTAAACCCTAAACCCTAAACCCTAAACCCTAAACCCTAAACCCTAAACCCTAAACCCTAAACCCTAAACCCTAAACCCTAACCCTAAAATCATGAGCCACTGCCCTCACAAGGCTCACACATGACCCAACCGGCATAGGCCCTTCGAATCGAATTGCAGCGGCATCAACATGGCATCAACATATCCTGCAATGCGACTGCTTTGCCTTTCCCCGTCGCGTGTAGTTGCTGGCATGTTGTTTTTGCAAGAACTTGCAATACTGGAGGGGTCAGGGCTTCCGAAAACACAGGAAAGAACAAAAACGTGCTCAGATCACCAGGGAAAAGAAGGAAAGCTGGTCAGACAGCAATGGGCTGAAACTTTATCGGGCTGAGAGTCAAGGTTTTCCAGGGTGTATAGGGTTTAGTGTCTAGGGTTTATTGGGTTTATAGAGCTCACGGTCTAGAGCTTGCCAAGTACTCGTCATGGTCCTGCTGCTGCTGCTCTCTTTTTCATCTGCTGCTGCCTGATTTCGAAGTTGTCAATACCCCTTGTTGTTGAAGCATCGGCGCGCGTTGTTTCAGCTCCGTTTCTCTGAGATATTTTCCGATTAGTGTTGATTCCTGGCCTTCATTGCCGCTTGTGTTGTGGTACCCTTATTCCCTTTTTGGGGGGTTTAGGTTCCCTTATATAAGCAAAAAAGGGCACCCTTTCTAAGCCTTGGTTACTGGGCAGCCTAGTGTGTGATCTGAATGCCACAGAGCTTCGGTTGTGGCTCCTGAGGTTGTTTCACAGAACTGTTCTCAACTCGACGGGGTTCAGGGTTAGGGGGAAAGACTGGGGTTTAGGGCTTAGGGTTTTAGGGTTTTAGGGGTTTAGGGTTTATGTAGGGTTTTAGGGTTTAGGCAGCGAGGTCAAAGACAGCAACTACGAGTCCGAGCGGGCAGTCATGTGCTTTGCCGCAGCCTCGGGAAAGGAGTTTTTACCATGTCGAGGCAAGACCCCGAAATCTTGAAACATGGTTGTCCATTTAGGGTTTAGGGTTTAGGGTGTCACCGAATCAGCTTTTTGGTGAATCTCAAACCCTACACCTTAAACCTCCAAACGGTGTCCCATGCTGGTGTGCTATGCGGTTTACTGTAGGGTTTCAATAAAGGCTGAGGGCCGAGGGTACCCTAAACCCCGCAACCCTAAACCCCTGAAAATACAGGAACGTGTGAGAGTCGAAAAATACAGGAGCGTGATGGACATGCGGGAATCAAGATTCGAAGCATCTTTTCGAGTCAAGGTTGGGTTTTAGGGTTAAGGGTTTAGGGTTCAGGGTTCAGGGTTTAGGGTGTGGGGTGGGTTGAGGGTTTAGGGTGGTGGAGACGCCTACAGGCTGTGGCGCTCCTTCTTTGAAGCTGGCAAGGACAGAGTCTGAGAAAGGAGACGCACCCCTATCGGTTTGGCAAGTCGGTGTAATGATGTTGAGATTGTCCGCTTGCTGCTAGGGGCAAGGCCCTAAACCCTAAATCCTGAGCTCCCAAAGCGTGGACTCCCTCGGGTGGCATGGTGAACACCCATCCCTGAACCCCTTCCGTGCTTCTTCTACATGGGGTTTCCGCACTTAGAACCTTGTTGGAGTCCTTTTTAAGGGGCTCCACCTACTTTTGGGGGATCCCTGCTTTATTTAGGGGCCCCGTATGCTCGTAACCCCCTCTAGACATTGCCACTCAGCTTTCATTGCGGAATGTCGGCTCAGAAAAGTCCAACAGCAGGGGAGATGACAAACCCAAAGAGTCGCCGAACTGTCGTCGCACTGGCCTTGGTGCTCGTCCTCCACGGCCTCTTGCTAAGAAAGCAGATGGATTGGGATGTTGCCCTCTTAATACAAACAATCCTTAAGAGGGATTATAGTAGGGGGTACTATAATCCCTATTTAAGGATTATAGCAGGGGGTATTATAATCCCTATTAAGGATTATAATGGCGGGTACTATAATCCCTATTAAGGATTATATATAGTAGGGGGTACTATAATCCCTATTAAGGATCATAGTGGGGGGGTACTATAATCCCTATTAAGGATCATAGTGGGGGGTACTATAATCCCTATTAAGGACTGTTAGAAAGATGGGGGGGAACATCCCAACAGATGGATGTGAAGCTTCTTGTCCCCCGCGCAGTGTGGTTCTTGCGTTCCGGGTAACCCGGGGGCTCCTCCTCGTGCTTGCTGCTGTGGTGCCGAACTGTACTTCATAGATAAACAACCGGCGCATCTGCTCATGATTCTTGCGAAACTGTCAAGCTGTTGCTTTGCATGTGAAAAGCCATCTCTGACTACAAATCTGCTGCCCCTAGCAGCCCTGGCAGCGTCCTCTTCTGCATTGTGATGAAAATGGCGAACTATCGTCATGAGTATTTTTATTTCTCTTGCTGTATCTATCATCAGTGTCGGACATGACGATGTGCCATGAAAGCAAATACTCTTGCAGCAGGGAAGGGCTAGGACACAGAGTAGACCCCTTCTCCCCTTGTTTTGGGGTTTAGGTTCCCTTACAAGCTCCCTTCAAAACCAGAAGCGCATCCCTTCTAATCCTAGGTTACTGCTGGGCAAGAACAACCTAAACCCGAGAAAGAGCACTGGATGAAATGAGGTCTGTGCTTCGTGGTGAGTCCAGCAGTCCAAACGCGTCGCCGGCTCCTGGCAGCGGCGGTTTCTCTCCCAGCGGCTATCTTTCAGGTGGGGGGGGGGGGAGAGTGGGGGGTTTAGGGTTTAGGGCAGGTGGGGGGGGGGGGGAGAGTGGGGGGTTTAGGGTTTAGGGTTCAGGGTTTCGGGTAACCCTAAACCCAAAAAATGGCTTGTTTGGTTTAAGGTTGTTGTGTTTAGGTTTCGGTTTGGACAACTTCCTGCTTCGTCACTCTTCTTCATTCGGCTACCTAAACGAATCCACTGCCAACTTGCCACGTTAATGCTGTGTCACGGAGCTACAGAGCAACGTTTCGAGAAGCCTGGCATTAAGGAGTCCCTTGTCCCTTCTGTCGACTCCTGATTGCTGCCGTGTGCGGTTGGGCCCAGGGTTCGACAGGCATAGATAAGGCCTCGTGCCGGGCTACTGCCGGGCTACTAGAGTGGACATACTGCAGTTGCGTGGCAAAGCCGCGCGTGACACGGATGTGTTCGAAGAATTTCCGAGGTATTGCTGTGGCATTCTGGTTGGAGTTATCCGGATTCCCACACAAGACATGGATAGAGGGCTTAGGGTTAGGTGCATGCTCGTAGTTTTGGTGGGGTGCCCAGGTGGAGAGAGCCTCCGCCAGCGGCGCCTGTGACGCTGACGATGTGGAGAAGTACACCAAGCTGAAGCCGCAATGGGACGATCTGATGAAGAAATGGCTGAACTTGGGTTGAAGTACGTGGTCCTCTCACTTTCATGAAATCGCACATAAGCACAACGACTCGCCAGAACTGCTCTCGGCTCTTTTTTCGCGCGTCGTGCTCCGAGGCGCCGTCTCCAGCTGTACAAGTTCCAAGATAAGGCAACAATGCCAAGGCACTGCTTAGGATTGTGTGCAACGATGGCCGGTCGAGGAAGCCTTGCGGACGCTGCAACCACGGTGTGCCCAAGTAGCATGCTTCCGTGGCTCATCATCCGGGTTCTTTTCGACTCTTAGGGCCTTTGGTCTCCCTGTCTCAAAGGATGCATAGGATGCGTCAGGGAGGAATTTGCAAACCATACTTTCAGTGAGCCCAAAAGATCCACACGTCACCTGACCTGCCTAATGATGAGCCAGCCACCGGTATGGTTTGCTCCTGCGAAGGATCTAGATGACTCTAGATGGCAGCTGCCAATCGTCGGGCAATTGCCCTGGGCAGATTTCAAAGGAGAAAGATGTTTTTAAGGCTGGCAATGTAGCGCCCAAGCCTACATCCAGGAAGCAGCAGCTTTTTGTTCAGGTCAGGACTATACGACCCCATCAGCATCACAGCTAGTAGCACACCATGCTTGCGGGGATACTCGAACTCTAGTAGGTTCAGCTTGCGGCTGCTGTTCCCATGCTACTCATCCGATGTTCAGCGCTCAGTCAACTGCGTGAAAGTAAAGGCTTCGTCTTCCCACGCGCGGGAAGCCTCCACACTGCTGGGTGCACACCTTCGGACTCTGTGGTGACGGTGGCACGTTCTCGGTGCACACCCTCGAACTCCATGACGGAGGCACGTTCTCCTCTCGGATGAAGCTGTGCCTCAGTGCTGCAGTCGTGGTGGCCCGAGCCGCGACATCTTTGGCCAAGAGCTGGTCTACAAATTTGCGTGCCTGCGCGGAGACACGGCGCCAGATCGAGGTGCTCAGGTTCAACTTGCTCTTGAAAACAGCATTGCGGACCTGCACCTCCTCCTCAAGCTTGCGGAGTCCAAACGGCATGTCTCCGACGAGGAGTGTGTGCACAATCAATCCCACTCCCCAAACGTCCGAGCAGGCACCGCAGAGTCCGCACCAGGCTTCAGGAGAGAGCCAACGCAGTGTGCCGCCAGGAGCAACATCGTGAAGGTCCGTTGCGCTGGACTCTTGGATCTTTTCGGGCAGCACCCAAGCCAAGCCCATGTCGAAGAGCTGTACGTTCCCTGGCTGGTCAATATTCCGGACTGCACGGACAAAGCCAAAGTTGTCCGGTTTAACGTCACGGTGCACGGCTCCGGCCACACGATGTAAGTAGTGCACTGCCGAGAGCATCTGCTGCGCCAAGTCTGCGCAGGTGCGCTCGGGAACTGCGGTCTTCAGGGCGGTCATCCAACCTTGCAGTGTTGGCCCCTCCAGAAGGTTCATGACAATGTACATGCTTTGCGGCATGTCCAAGACCCTCAGTAGATTTCGAGTGACGTGCTCTCGCGTGGCCCTCTCCTCTCCGAGGGCTTGAAGGAACTCGAGCATGCGGCTCATCGGGACGTTTACGAAGCTCTTGGACAGGGACTCCAACTCTGGATCCCGGTTGGGGAGTTTGACCTTCTTCATAGCGTATGCTATGCCAGGGCTCAGTGGCTTGAACTGGCTCAGTCCATGTCCAGTGGGCTCGACCCTGCACACGGTCCCAAATCCACCACGACCGAGGTGCCCTCCCTCTGTGAAGTAGTCTTCGATGCATCCACGGTTTATGACGGCAACACCATCATAGCTTTCCTGGATCTTAATGTAACGTTTTCGAAGGGTCGCACTGGCCTCTCCCACTGTCCACGCAGGACGAGAGCAAAACCAGCTGGCAAATCCCCTCAACACTGTCTGCGCCAGCAGGTAACAATCCCTCTTCGACGGAAGGAGCCCCTGTGCAACCCCTGGGGTACCTTACGGTGGACGCGGAGGCTCTTGAACGCATAAGCTGCTGAACTTCGTCGCCCGAACCCCTAAACCCTGAACCCTGAAATCAGAAAAGCCCTAAAACCTAAACAAGACAAACCTAAACCCTAAACCCTAAATCCTAAACCCTAAAACCCTAAATCCCTAAACCCGAAAAAACATTTTTCGACCAGCCTCAAGGCACAGGCCGCCCCCAAACCTGCGGATGCACCTGTCTTCCCATGTCCCGCCTGGCGGATCTTCCATCCTCAGTTTTTTGTGAAGGTTTTGGGGTTTTAGGGTTCAGGGTTTAGGGTTTGGGGTTTGGGGTTTAGGGTTTAGATCATATGTAGGTTGAGCATGTCATCTCCACAGAAAGAAATCTACCCGAATTTGATGATGTAGGGGTCCTAGCGATTAGGCTAGGGTTTTGGGATATATCATAGTCTAGCTATATAGGTATGGGCATATAGGAGGGATTCTTGTGATTGATTGTTTAGACCCCTTTATTGCACATTCCCAGGATACATGCCCCACTCCAATGTGTGGCTTGCGAAGCTCCCCGGCAGCAGCGGATAGATTGGACTCTCATTCCAGGGTTGTTCCTCGCCGTTGTTCTACTCCGTGCCAATCGTCGTTGTAGTGGCTGTGGTAGCCATGGCTGCGTGACTGCATAGGTCAGGTACTGCGGTTTGGGAAACCACGCTGCTTACAGTGATGCTGAGCTGATGGCGGGCGATGGCGGCGATGGTGGTGGTGTTGGTGGTGTCGTCGATATCTGATGCGGGCTGTTATTTACGCAATTCAACAACTAGGAGTCAATGCAACAACTAGGAGTCTGTAAAGCTTAGGTTGAGTGTGTAGCTTTATGCCTGCAAAACTGATGTCGCCGATGTTATCACGTCGATCATCTCTGCACATAGCTATTGTGAGCGCTTCGCGTCGTTCGCCTCGGCTGGGTTGTAGTGGAGAGTACCGTGCTAGTCTACCGTGGGTGGCTCTGGAGACAGCGACGCTTGCGATCGCTGTGAAAGTTTGAGTCCGAGGGCGTGCCAGTTTCGTCAAGAGCAGAACGATACGACAATGTTTCTCGCAATTTAACTGCTTTGGGTTCGCCGCCCTGGCCCGAGACAGACACGACTATCAAGAGAGTCGAGTGTTCGGAAACTAGTATTCGATCCTAGAACTTAAGGTGTCAGCACCCAATATCCCCAGAACGTCCAGGCGACTAAAACCCACAAAGCTAAGAATCCTCGGAAGACTCCGTTAATTGTAAACCCCAACAAAATAGAACCGCCAACGCCGCATCAAGAACGCTTGCCTTATACGCTTGTATGCTTGATACCGTGCACAAGTTTCTGTAGTGCTGCCAGGAGGTCATAAGGTATTGTGTGATGAAACATAAGCAAATATTATGTCATATTGCACGGTCTTATGTTGTGATGTAATATGTTCTAGTCTATTGTAGTGTATTTTGTCATATTACATGTTGTCGTATTATAATATGTTTTTGTATTGTATTATACTGTATTACATTATATTATGGATCATCGTGGGGAGTCATCTCAAAGGTTTCTTGCGCACAAGCGAGAGGAGGGCATAGACACGCGCTGCAGTCAATGTCAGCGCCCACACCGCCACGTAAAGGCCCTTCCGAGGGGACCTGCAGACACAAGGAATCTGCGGGATTCAGCAACCCTAAACCTTAAACCTTAAACCGCAGACTTAAGACTTGCTGCCGTGTCATATTCGGTCGTCACGAAACACTACATCGTGCCTATGCAGTCAAAACCGGTGAAAGAGGCCCGACACGGCGAGGCCGGGGGGGCGGGAGGGAGGATAATTAGAAACTTCTGACTCCTCCAACAGGGGTGATGAAGACTTACCATCATTCTCAGTTTCCATTGCCGTCACTGTTCTTCATGTTTTTGTCCATTTCATAGCGCCGCTCTAAGTTGTAATATTTTTAACTTCTAGTGGCCTGGACATCAGCCTAGGTATCCGGCGCAAGGCCAACCTCGAGCGCCTTGACTACTTGGAAGGTTTCCGAGTTTGGAGAGGCAGTGCTTTCCTCGCGGCTCGGTGATCTGCGATGCTCTGAGAACCAACCCCCGGACAGGGAACACTATCATACAATTGCAATTGCAACAACATGTGCCAGGAATACGGATATACATATCTGTATGTATACAGAGAACCTGCAACGATAAACATGCGGGAACTATTATCATGATGAATACTACTGTTGTTTTGCATTCGCTGTTGCAGCCACCGGGCACGAAAGAAATCGAAGCCCACACACATGGGGCACATGCGCGAACGTAAAGCCTCAATTTCCTGAACCCTGAACCCAGGACATTAAAGTCCCAGGAGTTCCCCCAAGCTTGAATTTTCAAGAAGGGTGCCCAAAATCAAGACTTCAACGCAACCCTGAACTATCCATGATTCTAAGGTTGCAAACGTGGGCCGCTAGTATGGGCCCTGAATTTGCAGATCCTCATATTTATAATATATACTTGCTAACAACTTTCGTAACCTTTTCATGATGCTGGGACGAGTCTTTTTACAGTTTGGTTACAAGGGCCCGCGGCCGCGAGATGCTGACTGGCACTGCTGGCAGCCATACCAGGTCCGAGTTCGAGGATTATGGTATTGCTACAGTATATTATCATGAAATATTATGTAGTCTGGGGTATATTAGGGCAGATTGTAGAGTACATTATGGCAAAAAATGAGATTGGAGTGGGTTTTGGCGAGCTTTTGGGGTATCTGGGTTTGGGCCGGTTATGAAGGCTTGCGGTTTCGGGTGCCTGGCTGTGTTGGGATTTTTCTTTTCAATGCGGGTGTTCTTCATTTGTTGTTTTGGAGTCTTGCGTTGTGAATCTCAAGGTTGAGATGCCCACAGCCGAGACCCTCGTCGACCCTAAACCCCAAGCCGTGAAGGTTTGGAATGATGGACGTTCGGGCTTCAGGCCTCAACCCAGTGCATAACTGGTATGGAGTTTGAAATAATGATATCACGTTTTAGCCCCTCCATAGCTCGCTATAGTGTACCGCAGCCGCCTATTCCAGACCAAGAAGTCTGAATCCCAACAAACTGCCCTGTTCTCCCCTCCACTTGATTCCAAAACCCTACGCCCACCGCCTCCCCCCCCCCCCCCCCCCCCCCCCCCCCCCCCCCGAGCCCCAAATCCAACCCCTCGAAGCCCTGAGCTCTGGCGGCCTTAAGCCCCCAACAGTCGGAAAGCCTACGACATACGAATCGTACGAAGGATGGCAATAATATCATTATTATTAGCAATGATAACAGACAGTAGCCCTCATAATAGTTATCCGAATCATCACAATAGCAAGTTTACTTGTACTACTATATCCTGATAATACTTCGAATAGTGATAGTAATGATACTAATGATAGCAATGATAATAATGATAAAGATAGTCATGTTAATAATGATCACAATGAATGACAAACAAGTACTAGTAGGAATAGGAGCAATAGCAACTGTAATACCGAAGCCCTGTGGAAGGGGCATGGCGATGGCCGCGCCACAAGGCCCAGCCTTGCAGAGCGAGTGCAAGGGGGCTGAAGCCTGACCCAGAAACTCTGCAACCCTTTTTAGGGTTTAGGGTTTAGGGTTTGGGGTTTGGGGTTTAGGGTTTAGGGTTTAGGGTAAGGGTTTGAACACCCGACGACCTAAATCCACCCCTCAAAGGCGCAAATTTCAAGCCCAAAGTTCCCAGAATCTACATACTCTAGACTCTAGGCCCCAAAGCGCAGAAGCATCGCGAGTTGAACCTGCAAGCATAATATGCTTGCTTGGTTTTGGGCGACACCCAAAGTGGTTCTCCCACTCTTCTGCGTCTGGCAAATGCCAGGCAGTGGAGATCGAACTCCAGGAAGTCTAAATGAATTAAAACAGGGCCTGGTTTTAGGTCTTAGGAAGTAACTCCCAATCGTATTGCAGATTTCACTCGTCTCCTTCTTGTGGTGACCACATGTATACCTCTTGCTATCACTGCTACCTTTCATCAAAGTGTCATTAGACGTATTGTGCTTGCGCAGGAGTGACCTGCCAGCTATTGGTCTGCTCACCGCCAAGCGGTGGGCAGCTACTCACGACAGCAAGCTGGGCAAGCGTCGAGAAATCAGGGTCCTTCTGTGAGGGTTTGCAATTTGCAGATTGCCCACCACGATGCAGCCCGAGGCCTGAATAGTTACTTAGTTACAGTATAGTATTGTGTGTCTGAAGCCGGCTTCTGCTCGGCAAGGTGCCTCTAGCTCATTGCACCTTGAAGCCATGGCCATGGTTGTGCCGCATGGCTACGAGCCTCTTGTGGCTTGGAAGCTCTGCTGCCCTGGGGGGATCCTCGTTCAGCTCGGCTTATACGTCTTGGCGGCCTCGCGCACACTGGCAATTTTCTTTGTTCTCAGTCGAAGAGCCTAGGCATAGTGTTTCGTTTCCGATTGAAGTTGTCTCTGCGAGTGGGGACTGCCTGCTCAAGTTCATGGGTCCGGCTACTCTCCGTGGTTTCGGTGTCCTCTCGATCTGTGAGCATTGTCAGGACATGCTGAACGATGGGGTGCAGATCCTCACCTTCGTCCTGCACGGGGACTACGGCTTCGCGGTGTTCATGCTGCTCTTCGTCGGCTTCAACGCTTACGTGACAGTCGAAAAAGTTGCGAAGCATAGCACCTTGAATCGCTTCGACGTTCTGGGCGAAGCAAGGCTCTGCCTAGCCCGGAAGGTCCCGACCAGGGCTTGGGGAGTTTTGCTCGGTAATGAGCGGCTCATCGAGGCGCCCGGCACCGGCCTTATCGGCCCCTACGGTGCCTCGTTGCTCCAGCTGACACCGTTTCAGGCGGCGAGCGCCCTCTACGGGCTTTACAGCTCTGCCAAGGCCATGGCCGAGGGCAGGCTGGACCTCGAGGCAGGGAGGGGGCTGTTGATTTTTTCGGAAACCTCTCGAGGATCCAATCGTTAATGTACAAGTGTAGCTCTTGGAAGGAACCCGCTTTTGCATGCATACGTCAAACGTTCTGTGTGTAACAGTGCAACCGTGCATGGGGGAGGCGTTCGACATCAATTCTACGTTCGCGCTGAA